CTTGCCGATCTTGCCATCCTACGTGATGCTTCATAAATGGAAGCTCACACATAGTACTATCGACTTCCGGGATAAGATCGCCTCTAGCCTATGACTAAAGTCTAAGGTAGGTAGGCTACTCCGATGCCGTATTCGAAAACTCATTTCACTATTAAAATCATAATCCTACGATCGACACACGAAAAACGAGGTGTTACTTTGGGAAGATTCAATTTTGTCTTCCTAGATCATCGCCCAGTTGAATTGGACAAACGACTCATACATCTACATTAGATCGCAAATGCGATCTTCTTCAGCTAAAGAGGGCACCAAGTGCCAATAACGCCTACTCCCCAAGTCCGGTTGATGGACTGTTGGTATATTTCTTTCCCACCCGTTAAATGCTTTATGTTGAATGCTACCGTTTCCCGCCAGTCTTTCCTGTAGAACTTTTTTGGTATAGATCCCCATTGAGAACCCTGCCAGTAAAACGCCGATGTTGAAATCGATTATGCAGTTCCCATGAAAATTTGGCAGCTAACTCCCCACAACCTCATGCAATCATCATCAATTTTCCTAAATTGAAACACTGGTCTCTCTAGATAGAGAAAACCGTTTATTTGGCGTACTTCGCACGGAAGTACTTGGCAGCGTTGACCATGTTGACCAACGCAGCCTTGGTCTCCTTCCACTGACGGGTCTTGAGACCGCAGTCAGGGTTGATCCAGAGCTGCTCAGGCTTGAGGTACTGGAGCATCTCCTCGATGCGGTCCTTGATCTCCTGCTCGCTGGGCACACGCGGCGAGTGGATGTCGTAGACACCAGGACCAATGTGGCGAGGATATGCCTTCTCAACGAAGACGCCGAGAAGCTTGGAGTCAGACTTGCTGTTCTCGATGGACAGAACGTCAGCATCAAGAGCAGCGATGGCGTGGAAGAAGTCCTGGAACTCAGAGTAGCAGAAGTGAGAGTGGATCTGAGTGGAGTCTTCGACACCGACGGTCGAGAGCCTGAAGGCCTTAACAGCCCAGTCAAGGTAAGCCTCACGCTCCTTGCCAGCACGGAGGGGAAGACCCTCACGGAGGGCAGGCTCATCAACCTGGATGACGTCAATGCCAGCCTTCTCAAGGTCAACGACCTCGTCACGGAGAGCCAAAGCAAGCTGCTCGGCCTGGACGGACTGGTGGACGTCATCACGAGGGAAAGACCATCGGAGGCAGGTAACCGGACCAGTCAACATACCCTTCATGGGCTTCTTGGAGACGGAGACGGCGTACTTGGACTCCTTGACAGTCATGGGGGCCGGGCGAGAGATATCGCCGACAATGATAGGAGGTCGCACGCAACGAGAGCCGTAGCTCTGGACCCAAGCGTGCGTGGTGAAGGCATAGCCATCCAGGCGCTCGCCGAAGTACTGAACCATGTCGTTTCGCTCAGGCTCACCGTGAACGTAGACGTCGAGCTCGAGCTCATCCTGGATCTTGACGTTCATGTCAATCTCCTGCTCGATGAACTTGTCATACTGAGCCTCAGTAATCTCTGCCTTAGTGAACTTGTTTCGTTGCACTCGGATTTCCTTGGTCTGAGGGAAGGAACCGATGGTGGTAGTAGGGAAAAGAGGAAGGTTGAGTTTCTTCTGTTGCTGAGCGATTCTGGAGGGGAACTCAGACTTGCGGTTGTAGTCCGAGGGGACGATCTTAGATTGCCTCTCCTTAACCTGGGGGTTGTTGGTTCGCTTAGAGGTGGCACGAGCGTTCTGGGACTTGGCGTTAGCCTCAAGAGCCTCGCGGACGGAGGCAGGGCCGTCAGTGACAGCCTTAGCAATGATGGCAATTTCGACAGCCTTCTCGGAGGCGAACGAGAACCAGTCAGCGATTTCAGGGTCGAGCTTCTTCTCGCTCGCAAGAGTGTGAGGGGTGTGGAGGAGAGAGCTGGAGGTGGCGACAATGACACGGTCCTTGCCGAGCTTCTGGATCGCGGTCTCAGCGATCTCAATAGCGCGCTTGAAGTTGGTCTTCCAGATGTTTCGGCCATCGACAATACCGACCGAGAGGATAGTCTTGGGTCCGAGAGCACCCAAGACGGTGTCTAGTTGCTCGGGGTTGCGGACAAGGTCGATATGAACGGCATAGATGTCCTTGGGGAGGAGGTCAAGGTTGTGGACGATGTCACCGAAGTAAGTGGTAAAGACCAGGTTGGGGATCTTGCCAGCCAAGCTGGCGAATTTCTCGTAGGCAGGCTTGAAAGCAGCCTTAGTCTTGGCAGGTAGATCGAAAACGAGGACAGGCTCGTCGATCTGAACGGTCTCGGCACCAGCCTCCTTGAGCTGGATGAGGAGCTCCTCGTAGACGGGTAGGAGCTTGTCAAGGAGGTCGATGGGGACGACGCTCTGGCCACGGTCGGCCTTACCAAGGTGAAGGAAGGAGACGGGCCCTAGAAGAACAGGTCGGGTGTTGATGCCGGCCTCCTTGGCTTCCTTGTACTCAACGACAGCCTTGGGGCTGGCAGTGAGCTTGAAGGTTTGGTTGTCCTGGAGAGTAGGCTTGACGTAGTGGTAGTTGGAATCAAACCACTTCACCATCTCCAAGCTAGGGACATCGACACCACCCTTTTGGTGGCCACGGCCCATAGCGAAGTATTCATCGACACGGTCGAGGTTGGCGCTGGAGTATCGCTCAGGGACGGCCTGTAATAAGAGACATTAGTATATCAAACCAGATGAGATTCGGAACATTTTTAAACTTACACCAAAGTCCTGGATGTGAGAGAGGACTTGGTCATAGAGGGCGAAGTCATTGCTGGGGATGATGTCGACACCGGCATCCTTCTGGATCTTCCAGTGGGCAAGACGGAGACGCTTGGCCTCAGCAAGGAGGTCAGCCTGGGAAAGGTTGCCAGCCCAGTCTTGATGACGAAGTTAGCAATACAACTCTTACTATCGTGATGCCGCTTGATCGGAACGTTTTCCGGAAGAGCCGGGAGGAAAACTTACAGGCTTCAGTGGCCTTCTTCAGGTCACGGTTCACACCCATGCGGGGGAAACCCAGAACAGCAGATTGAACCATCTTGACAGCGATTCTAGGTATCTGGGATGATGTGAAGAAGGGTTTTCTATAGTGAATTTGTTAGTTTGATAAGAATTTTTCGGCGGGGTGATTAATTAGGCTTGGGCGAGGATGGTGGGGTAAAAAAAGCAAGAAAAGTCTATTCATGTTGGAACTTGGGGTAAAGATGGAAGTATAAACTTACAAGAGATTCAGAGTGTTACTTCCTTCTCTCTTCTAAGTTATTAGAAGAGTTAGACCGATTGAAGCGTAGCAACAACGGTCAAGAGGAAGAATGAAAATTGGGTTGAGGAAGGAAGAGATGAGCAGAGGAGGGAAAGGGAAATGGTCGAAGTGTAAGTAAAAGTAAGCGGTGTGGGAGGGGTTCTTATGTTCTTCTGGGGAGCTCAAGTGGAACCTCTGGAACTGAGTAAACTATATCTATGAGGGGGTTAACAATTTTTTTCGGATTGTTCGTGCTTGAGCTAAGCCAACGGGAACCAACAGAACATGACAAGAGGATTCCACAGATCGATCCGTTGGATCCATTGGCTCTTTGGATGCAATCAGGGTCCGAAAGCGGGGTGCCAGACCGGCGAGCCAAATACTCCTGCTCCTTTCCTTCCTCTTTACCTGGTCTGGCTGTCTGGGTGAGGCTGGTGACCCTTGCTTTTTTTTTCCTGTATTGTATTGTACCTTTTCCTGCACCTTTCCTGTGCGAATCGTGCTGACCTTAGGTAGAGAGTGAGCGAAGGATTAGGTTTGTTACTGCCCCAAGTACTGCTCAGGTTTCGCCAAAGCCATTATTGGAATTCAAGGTACTACTGAATTACAATGACAATTACCTTGGCTTTGTTACCATTTTCTAGCGTACGGAGTTCTTCTATAACACGTGAAATTGAGAGCCATTCATTGGTCCGTCCAGCCATTTTCAAGGCTTCGAGTACACAGTACCGACGTAAGTGGCCTAATTCGGGTTCCGATAGCAAATCAATCATAGAGGCCCGCGGAAAATGATTCGCCGAGTCATCCTGCACTTCCATCTTTGTTTCTCCGGACCATATCCCACCTCACTTTGCTCCGAACATTGACGAACATTATGTAAGACAAAGAAAGGAAGTAGATTTCTAGACACTAAAAACGTCGAATGATAGCGAATCATCGCCCCATGCCTGCATGTAACCCCAATCAATTCTACCGCGACCGAGCCGTGCTCCTGGATGCGAATCTTTGCGAGGCTCTTATCACCCCGTTACATTTCCTCACATTAGAGTAGCACCCTAACCCTTAAACTACTAGACATCAACTAGTTTCGCAGGCTACTTCCGGACTAATTACTAAGGCGGTCCCCTAGACGACAACCGCATCAATTGGGTCTAGATGTCTAAGTCTCTAGATGGCTGACTACATAAGTGGGTTTGGAGTCTATTAAAACTCCTATGTCGACCATTCTGTTTCGCCGCTTCTCCGTCCAAGTTGAACGGCCCTTTCGATGTTGAGGTCTTCTCATTGATCCCTCTGGATTGTTCAAGTTAACATTATTCGAGCGCATGATAGTAAACAGGAACAAAGACAAGGTACCTACACTCCAACCGATCAATCAGCATACGCTAACTTCCATACTAGGTAGACATATGTCCATATGGATGCAAAACTTTATGCTTCTTTATATCGCTTGGATATACACTCATGATAGAGATAAATCCAACTAAAAACGGGTGGATTCATTGACCAGCAATGAAAACTCCTGCGGACGATTATGTAACACATCACGAGATTACGTAATCACATTAGTATCGTTTGGTAGAATATTGGAAGACAACCAAAAGATGGCCTCAAAGCGAAAGGTTGAATGGCTCACCAAATCAACAGGTGGTTGGTGATTTACTCGTCTTTTGAAACTAGAGGATTAAAAAAGAGAAAAAACCAGAAGACAAAAAAGGAGATCCCAGATTTAACTAGGAGCCATGGGGATTGAGCCCACGGCGGGGGTCGAACCCGCAGCCTTGAGATTAAAGAGTCTCACGCTCTACCGATTGAGCTACGCGGGCCTCTCAGAGTTGATAATTGCTCGTTGCTCATGCCTGATGGTACTGAAACTGGAATATTTATCACATTGCTTTCATCCGGTGTTTGTAATGGCTACCTAGGGTAAGGTGGCGGATGTGGCCCGTACTCTAATACTATGAGTCACTAGTTAGTACAGTTTGCTTTGAAAAGATTTAATAGTTGCAAATATTATAGCCTTGAGATCTGGTTGGTGGGCTAATGTAGCAATGTAATGGTCTTTGGTTAGTGATTCCCGAGTTATAAGTCTCAAGTTCTCATTGAAGTAAGATAATGCCTATGAATGAGATTAGGTAGGTACCTATTTACGTCCTACTTGAAACTTTCATTGGTATTGCGCTATTATCTTATTGTTATGGTGATTGGCGAACGTCAGAACACCGTACAACCGAAGACATGTCACATTGCGTTGTCTATTTGAACCATGCCAATATGAGAAATGACAAATACATACTAGGTACTACTACCTACTAAGGAGACAGCCCCCATGTCTTCAATGTAAAGGTACCTAGTATATTTACAGGCCAAGAAAGTGGTATATGTTGTTACCTAAGCTTTGGAAAGCATGTATGTCCTAGTGTCATTTTCAGTCTCGATCTGGCCGCCTTCAAATAAGAATGGAAGCAGCTACTTGTACTCAGGTCTAAATGAGATTAAGTTCTGATTGTAGGTATGTATTGTTGAGAAGCAGTGACCGTGGATAGAGGTCATCGGGAAGGCATTGGATATAACTGCTAGGTGGTAACTTCTAGAACTCAGATTTCTCTTAGAAATGACAACTGCCTAGGTGCCTAGGTGCCTAGGCACCTAACCTAGTAGGCACTTTTAATCAACAAGGACTCACCATCCAAGTCGTCATCCAAGTTTAACATTGCTCTGTTAGAAGGTCTGGCATCAAATGTATCGAGGGCTTCTTCTGTCAACCCCTTTATTCAGCTCCAGCTAGAGAGCTGCTGAGTCTTTCTTGGAAATTCATCACCACTATCCATATCTAGCCAGTTTCAATTCTCGTTCGTTCTCAATTCCACAGCTTCCAGAATGTCTATTTTCTGCTGCTGTCGTGGTCGGCGAACTCCAGCGACTTGCCGGGAGCCTGAACGAGAGATTCAGGACATACTAGACTTTCCGATTCGCCCGCCTCGTGCAAAGCTATCTAAGTCTTCGTTTCAAACCCCTGATCTTGAGCTCTCATCATCACACGTTGAGGCAACAAAAGCACCATCTCTACTCCATGATTCCATACCAGAGGCCACGGTCTATCCTACAATCCTTGAAATTGATGACTCCGATGACGATGAACCCGTGCGAAGTATAAGAAACTCCAGCACTGGCACATTAGAAGCTATCAAAACCAGGTTTATGAGACCGCTTTCTCAAAAGTCGGAGTCCAAGAGGCACTCACAGCAGTATCTCGGTGCGAGTGAGGAGGAAATCGCACGACGTGCCGAGCTAAGGCGTCTAATGCACAAGAGGATTCAAGAAGAGTTAAAGAGTGAGGAGGAACAAGAAGAAGCCGATTATAAGGTAATGAGCCCCGATGATTCGAAGCCTGGAAGTTCCGCTAGTGTTGGATTATCTGGTGGTGGACCTCGAGATAACATAGAATTTTTTGTCTCGGATATCAACGAAATCGGATCCAATGATGCATCTACGGATGCCGCCCCCCTTGTGCCTTTTGCAACAGGTGTCCGAACGCAGATTTCCTCCGGACGGAGTAGTTACCCAGGACCGCCTAGCCGATCGCACGACAGTTCTATCCATGAGAGTCACAGAAACTTAAAGGGGCAAGGATCTTTTTCGTATTTCCCCTCTTCACCTCAGCTAGACCCTATTCCTTTATCAAGTGCTCGAGCCTCAGACTCACTCTATTCTTGGCGACTTTCCTACAGCGCCGAGCAGCTTGCGAATTACCTTGGCGCTGAAGACTCCCAACCCGACGACAAGTTTGAGCCTCTTAAAGCCTTCAATGAGATTGAAGATGCCGATGGAAGTGCCGATGGAAACGGTGATGACCAAAAGGAGAATGTTGCGAAAAGTCCGTCGACTAGCCAAGAGTCTATGGGAAACCAGGACGACGCACAGCAGAATGAACCGACGACAATTCATGTCGAGCCACCCGAGAGCCCATACATCGATAACTCTCATTACGAAGGTTCCTGCCAAGATTCGCCATTGAATATGTGGTTACGGAGTCAAGAGATGCACTCAAATTCCATCATATTGAGCAGAAGAACGAGTGGCATGATTTCCCGGATGGCCCTCGACGATTGCGACGCAGACTGCACCGGTTCGCCCCAGAAACCAAGGAAAGATTTGCAGAACGCGTCTAATGTCTTGTCAACCATTGCCGCAGAAGTGCCGGCCAATATGGACAATAAAGCTAGCTCGTCTGAACTACCGCCTTCTTGGCCGAAGGAACTGCAGCGACCTGGCGAGGGGTGCAATTGTGCCCCCGATGATGATGTCTTCAAGTTGGCGGATCATGTTCGGGATGTCTCTTCCTCTCATTATGCATCCTCGCGATATACTACTGGGCCTGATGGTTGTCAAGTTACAGAAAAGGAGTCGCGTCTAAGTCTCATTGAGCTCTTAGGAGAACGGAAAGCTGTACCACCACCTACAGGCGCCAACGGTGAGTCACGTTAGGATAATCGAGAGGGCTGTTGAATCTAACGAAAAAAATAGGTCTCATACACCCCAGTGGTACGACGGATGCGGATAAATCGGATAATAGCTCGTATAAGACGGCCCCAAACGCGGGATCAGCATTGGACATTACCATGCCTGAGAACCAACAACAAATAGGTCGTCTAATAGCGGGTGGAAGCTCTTTGGCAGTCTCTGATACCGCAAGCTTCAAACAACGAGAAGCAGAACTGAAGTCTATTGAACAGAGATTTGCCCAAGTCCATACTCGGCGGGATACTACCGCAAGCCCAATTACCAGCAAATTTCGGGAGGAATTTCACGAGCCTAGAACATCAATTCTTAGGAAGAATTCAATATTTGGTAAATTCCATTTGCCAAGACCAAAGAAAGCGAAGAACCCGACAAAGGATACCTGGAGATACAGTATGTACGACGTCAAGTATAGTGACAACCTTCACCAGCAAGATTTAGAGGTGAGTACTATTGGTAAGCAATTGATGCCATCATCAAATGCGGGCCAGAAGCATGAAGCTTTGGTAAGCACCATAGGTTTGCAGAAACAAGCTTTTACGCCTGACGAAGACGCTTGCGGTGCCGAGCAGCATCCCTCCCAAGCAACCCAGGCGGATCAAGAGCCAATCCCCATCGCACCTAGTCCCCAAACTAAATCAGAACAACTGAAACCGCCTTGTCGACACGAAAATGACGACAGCCCACAGTCAGACATATCGAACAATGTGCTTAGAGAATGGGTGAACCTAATGAATGATCAAGGTATTGAGCCTCAATCCGAGCCAAAGGAAGAGCTACAGAATCGCAGCCCCAGGCGACTCCGAACACCCCCAGCATCATGGGCAAAATGGCCATCGCATACACGCCATGAAAGGACAGGGCCTGCAGGGAAAGATGACAATGTGATTTCAAGAGATTTTGCAGTCCGGGTGGGATCTAATACTAGCGATATAACATGGTCCACGGATAAACCCGAAGAATCATCAAAGAGGTATTTAACTCTCGGATCCCGAAGTCTATCAGCCCAGCTAGGCAAAGCCGTCAAAGAAGGATTGGTAAAAGTTGTACAGCGAAATTCATTTGAAACATATCGCGGGCACCGGAAGCCTGATGGGCACCTTGAATATCCCGAGCTGGAGATTCTGCCGATGCAGGGTGGATATGAAGAGCTACAGGCACTCGAACAGCAAATCGGTACCATGAAATGTAAGTCGGCTCCGGCAGAAGGACAATTAGCTCGACTTAGTAGCGACAACATGAGACCGCCTCTGAGTGCACGGTTTGCCGAGGGAGTCCATATGATGCAACACAAAGCCTATAGGGACTCCTGGCAGGACGATGATAACCACATAGTGTCAACTTCACCAGAGGTATCTTCAAAACATCCCAGACAATTGCTCGCGTCATCTTCGAAAGTGATCGGTCGATTCGGGACCTCAGGGTCTCATGTTAGTTACGATGATTGTGTACCTAAACACATGTTGGAAGACGAGGCGCACGTTGAACACGATACGATGACCGCAGAGGAAGGTTATAATACGCAAGCGACTTAGCACCACCCTATTATACCTAATTCACGATACTGGTAGATCCGCTGTGCTGGTACGATAGCGATACAATGAGGGCAGACGTCGGTTTGTGCGAAACGAAGGACATGGCCATTGTCTCAATATTTTTACTTGAAGTATTTCGTGGAAGTTATCGTGAGGGACGTTTGGAACGAGATGGTATTGACTGTTATCAGGTCGCGTGCCCTGCTAAACACTTATAACATGTGCGTTATGTATCGATACTGATATGTATTGGGTTTAATTGAGCGGTAGGAGGCTATGATATTCATCGGTTCGTATTCTTCTGGTTTGGGGTTGTAAATATTATCTACACCCATCGATTGCCGGTGTTGTAATTCGCGCTCTAGATTGCTACACTATGATCGTAAACTATTAGAAATGTATATCTATGAGAAAGGACTGATCATTGCGTACCTAAAAGTCAAGTTGGGTTGCGGTAAGGAGTGGGTAGGCATTGACTCGCCTGTTGAGTTTCTAAAGGTAGGAAGAGCATGTGGACTTTCATGTGAGAAGTCAATGATCACATGTCTAACAAGGCATGATGACGCTTGCCTCACCTCGAGCTGCCTAGATGTTTACTTACCTACCTACCTACCAGGTTCCTGGATGCTTAGCGCGTATTATCTACTCGGACTCCCCTATTGGCCCAACTCTTGGCGGTGAGATTATCTTTAGTAATTACAGCATCCTCAGGACCCGGTACTAGGTATTCTAGTGGGCAAGCCTCCCTTGTCCTCATTTTCGAGAGTACT